AACAGTTGGGCACAGGTGACCTTGTGGCCTGTCTGTGTTGCCTCAGCGACATGCTCTATGAATCTGACCTGACTTTTCCCCTCTGGAAAGCTGCTCTTTCTGTCTACATAGTGAATTTAAAACTGTGTACAGTGAGTTGTGGTGAGGTTATAGGATAACCTGGATGCACTTGGTAATATGATGTGTTCAGTGACAAAAGCCTTCAAACTTTTATTCATGCTTAGGAAGAAAAGGGTTCACTTGACTTTAATTTTCAAGGTTTTGATCTCGTGAGATCATTATGCTAGCTTATTTGAGACCAAACTGAGCCATATAGAATGTTCTTGATCAGAGACTTAGCTGCAAAGAGAGTGAATAGATTTTTTTACCCCACACTGACTTTTATTGTAAGTGATGTGATTTCAAGGTTTGATTTCTTTATTTTTAAATCGAATTAGATTTGGTGACTTCATCGATGTGAGCGAGGGCCCTCTTATTCCAAGAACAAGTGTTTGTTTCCAGTATGAGGTGTCAGCAGTTCACAGTCTACAAGCCACACAGCCAGGTCTCGTACGAAGATTCCAGGGTCTCTCCTTACCTATTCACTTAAGAGTAAGTAAAACTTCAAGTTCCAGTGTTTTTAATTTGGGTGTGGGTATATTTCTTGGCTTGATTTTGTACAATATGAAAGATAGAAATTTTAATTTTCATTAAGGTGTTTAACACTCCCAAGTTATAAACTTGATTTTATAATAAAAAATGTTTCCCCATGAACTAAACAGATAATTTATAAAACAAAGAATAGGAAGTATCAAATCACATGGAAATAGCACTTTTAACTTTTCAAGTTAGCACAGGTGAGGGTGGATTTAGAAGATACTGGGTTGCATGTTGGTAAGCCCCACGAGGAATGCCTTTTTATCTTATATTCAGCATGCGCTTTCCCCCAATTTTAATCTATTTCTAACCACAAAATCTGTCAGGTTTTATTTTGCTTTCACGTCTTGCTAATTTTTATTTAGAAAAAAACAACTTAATTCTTAAAGGTATTTATGGATTCATATGCAGCTATAAGAACAGAGAGATCCTGTATTCCTTTTCCAAGTTTTCCGAAAACTGCACTACTCTGTCCAGGATCTCTGTGGGCAGATTGGGCCGCTAACTGCAGGGTTGGCGATTGAAACTCATGAGCTACTCCACAGGAGAAAGATGAGGCTTTCTGTTCCTGTAACGAGTTGTAGCCTCTGAAACCCACAGGGGCAGGTCTCCTACTCTGTTCTGTAGGGCGGCTGTGAGTTGGAATAAAAAACCAGTAAGTTTTTGGTATGTTACAAACTATGTTACAAACAAGATAGAGTTATTACCGTAAAGAAAAAAAGTTTTCCCCAATAAAATGATTAAATAAAAAAGAAAGAAGCAGTTTTACTCTCCCCAAATCCCTTGTTGTTGTTCAGGGCCGTCAAGTCAGCCCTGACTCACAGAGACCCTGTATGTAACAGTGAAACACTGCCAGGTCTCCCACTGTCTTCACAACTGTTGTTATGTTTGAGCTTAATGTTGCAGCCACTGTTTTGATCCATCTTACCAAGGGACTTCCTCTTTTTCCATGCACCTCTAGTTCGTCAAACATGATGTTCTCTCCCAGGCCTGATTAATATGTCCAGTGCTTTAAAGAATGGCTATTCAAGGAAAGAACTTCAATCTGTGGGAAAGTGGGGCAGGGTTTTTTATACTTCCTATTTGAAGGAATGCATTCTATGATGTAAGTGAGTAAGAGGGACAAGAGACAAAGAATGGTGTATTCAGTTCCTAAGCCCTTTTTTCTTAAATGACAAGGCTGTGTCCTTTTCCGTACTCTGACCTGCTTTGGTAACCACATAGCCTACTGTTAATTTTTGTCTGTTTGTTTAAACTCTGTATCAAGACTCAGAAGCTTTTATTTATTATCTTGTTTAATTCATAGTAAATCTTTTCTCTTTAAGACACATTTTACAATCTGGGATAAGCTATTGGAAAGATCTCGGAAATTGGTAAGTGTTCTTGACAACTGACAAGCACTCTTCTCTGAGGAAATAGTTGTCATTGAAATCAAGCAACTGGCAAAACAAAAAGAAATAAGTTAATTGTCTGCTGTGGTTGTTGGCCCCAGTAGTACTTTGGCAGAAGGAAAGTTGTAGTTTGGAAGTTCTCTTTTGATTTTATTTGTTAAGGTCATGAGAATGATACTGTAGAACTTGAAGAGAAAAAAGATACTTCATATGGTAGTAAAAGTTCTTAGGGATTTTAAAGGAACTCGTTAGATCCTATGATTTTGAAAATGAATCTCCGGAACACCTAAGGGAGAAGATACTTTACTTTCAAGGTATCTTTAAAGCAAAGGTATCTCTAAGATTCTGTACGTTAAAGCCGCCTTAACTGTTGACATATTAAATGTGTAAATTTTGTGAAAAAGCAAATTTAATGCTTAAGTTTCTGTATTTACTCTATGTCATTAGTATTTAGATTTCACATGTACAAAGGGTTATATTTCTGACCATAGCTATCTGTTTTCTGTTTCATGTGATAAGTGTTCATCTTTTATATACACTACTCACTAGCTATCCAGAGTAATCAGACCTGATGAGTCCTTTCCAGTTACTTTAATTTACCCACTTCCTACTATTTACCTTAAAATACCTGCTCCTGTACAGACTGTCTAGTCATGCTTGCCAGCACACTAATGGCCACCCATCAAATGACTTTCAGATTCTTTGTTCATTCATGACCGTCCTGTCTGAGCTCTCCCAGGCGCCTTCCTGATGCGTGCTTGCCCGCATCCGACTCCTTCTTTAATGTTTCATCTTCTCCATGAAACATCCTCAGAACTTTAGCTGAACAAATATTACCCATTCATGCAATTCGTTGCTTGATTGGATATCTTCTCATATTCTTTTCTTTGATAATATATTTGCGCTTAGCTTATTAATTTATTGAGGGCTTAAGTCTAAATTTGAACACATTTGGTATATGATGAGAATTAATTAATACTTGGTTGCTTCACAGTGAAATGTAAAACTGGGGTTTGTTAGGAAATTTCAAGTAGAATTTATTGTTTATGGCTAACCTGCTAACCTAATGTACCAAACCATAGAGCAGACTCTGCCGGTAAGTCACTTGTGATGTATAGTGACCCTGTGGGACAGGGTAGACTGCCCCTCTGGGTTTCCAGCACTAACATTCTATGAGAGCTATGGAAAGGTTATGTAATTTTTCTCATCAGAAGATAATATTTTTGAAAAAAAAAAAAGATAATATTTTTGCATATAATAACTGTCCCTTTGGTCACAATAATCATTTTATTTGTCTGACTGTGTTTTGGGTCACCGTTCGTATAAATCTCTGCTTGCCGTTGGTTATCATTTTCACTTGTCAGCATTCTCCTTATTTTCATGGTTTTTTTCTCTTCCCATTGATCTAGCTTCAGGCCCCTCCTTCCTTCCCGTCTTTGCTTTCGGGGAAATGTTTCCCAGTTGGTCTCAGATAGCTGATTGTGTAAGGAAGGGAGCGCACACTCAGAGGTGACATCTTTGATAAGCTGACCCATTATTTGGCTGATCGGTGACCTCGGGGTTCTGAGTCAGGGGGTCTCTCAGAGGGATCGTCTCGGGCTTTCTCAAGTCTTTTCTCTCTCTTTTTTTATCTAGTGAGTCTGGCATTTTTAGGAATTTGAATTTTGTCCTACATTTGCCTCCCCTTCTCTTGGGGACTTCCTCAGGAACTCTGGTGGCGTTAGGTGGGTTTTGCATGTTGGACTGCGAAGCACAAGGTCAGCAGTTTGAACCCAGCAGTCGCTCCACCAGAGAACGAGAAGGCTTTCTGTTGTAAACATGTATAGCCTTTGAAACCCAAGGGAGCAGTTATACTCTGTCCTATAGGGTCACTATGCATCAGAATTGTCTAGATGGCAGTGAGTTTGGGGGTTTATTTTTTAATTGAGACATCCTACTGTGTCCCTGGTCAGAACAAGCAGTAGTGGTAGCTGGATACCATCTAGTTCTGGTCTCAGGCTAGAAAAGGCTGTGGTTTATGTGAGCTGTTAGTTCTCTGACTAATTTCTTCTTTGACTCTTGTTTTCTTCATTCTCTTCATTCATTCATTTGCTCCAGACAAGCAGAGGCTTTTAAGACCACGTGCTACTCACTGAACTAGGATGTACAACATAGTCTTTGTGAACTATATCATGCCAGTCGACTAAGTTGGCATATGAGACTACAGTCCCAAATCCTGCAGGGTATTTGAAGATGTCTAGGAAGGCTTTGTAGCTGTATTCTCTCTCGGTTTTATTATATTTATGTGAACATATATGCAGCCCCCACAAATATACATGTACAAAGGCTTCAGAAAGTTTGTGGGAAAAATTCATTGTCTTTGTATTCCATTTTCCCATGAGTTTTGAGGCTTCCACATGTATATCATACTCACACAGTCTTTCCTTTACACACATACCCATCAATGTGTTGTTATCGCAGTCATAGTTCCTGGTTATTATTACTGTTGTTGCAAAGTAGTGTCTGGTACAGCATTTACCAAAATTGTCACTTACTCTCGGGTACTCCTCAGTGTCTTCGTTGGCCCTGCAGACTTCTCCCTTTTTGACTGTTGCCTTTCCTGTCACCAAGTCACCAAACATAACAAGTCTGTTATCTAGAAATAATCTCCCTCCCCTTCCTGGTAGCCATCAAAGAACAGTGCTTTCTGTGTGCCTTCCTCTTTGTTTGCCCTTCTGTGATTGTACAGTGATCATTTTCGATTAAGAAACCAAAGGTAAAAAATCAATAGCTAAGAAATATTGAGGAATCATAGGAAGCAATAAAATAAGAACTGAACACTTTCAGGAAAAATGCTGAAGAAGAGTAGTGACAATAACCTAGTTATTGTCAGTAATAAGCTGTTTTTGAACAGTAATAAGCTGTTTTTGAAACATTCATTCTGGTTTCATGGTCTTCTCTCATTGTCCATTTTGTTTATCCTAAGGGAGTAGACACTGTGCATGCTATTGATTCAGTGAACACAGACTGAATATTTGCTGTGTGCCAAGTACCATTGTGTTCTGATAAAAATCAACAAAACCCACTGAGCTGGATGAAGTCAGTACAGGCAGATAGTTCAGACGGATGTGCGGGGCTCTGGAACAGGCGCTCACCCAAGTTGGAGGTTTGGTGAAGAAAGGTCCAAGAGATGATGACTTCTAAATTAGTTTGAAAGGATGAATAAAAATGGGCTGAGCAGCTACTTTAGTGGGGGTTGTTTCTCAAAGGAAGCTCCTTGACAAGAGGGCTGGGGAGTAGAGAATGGTGCGTGTCAGAAGAATACGGTGACTGTAAGCGGAATGTGAATGTATGGGTCACATGTAGGGTGGCAGTGAGTAATGAAGCATGATGGAGTAGAGTACGAGGGGCTCCTCTTCCATGCTGTGAAATTTGCAGTTTTCCTTCCCTACAGATGATAGGAACCCTGGTGGGTAAGTATTGAGCTGCTAATCGCAGGTTAAAGGTTCAAACTTATTAGCCACTTCTTTGGAGAAAGATAAGACTGCCTGCTCCCATAAAGATGTACAGCCTCGGAAACCCTGTATAGGATTGCTGTGTGTTGGAATCAATTTGATGGCAGTGGGTTTGTGTTTTTAAAATGATAGGGGTAACAGAATTTTGATTAGGAAAATGACATGATCAGCTATTTCTAATCAGAAGTTCATTCTAGGGGCAATGTGGAAGATAGCTTTAAGTTAAGCCAGAAGTTCTTCTAGGGATATTGAAAATGATATGGTCTTAAAGCTCAGCCCCGATAGTGAGGATGTAATAGTTTCTGAGGTAGCATTAGTAAGATGAGTGCTTCCCAAAGTGGGTGACGTCGCCCCCTTCGGAACGATCAAGGGGCCTGCAAGAGCAGATACCTACATTTCTCCTGCGTTATGGGCTATAGTTCAAAGTTTTTAATCGCCAGGGCAGTGCTTAGTAGGTTTTGTTTTTCTTTCCTGAAAAGGGGGTGGTAGACCAAGTTTGGAAGCTATGAATTAGCCAGGGGTCCTCAAACTTTTTAAACGGGCCAGTTCACTGTCCCTTAGACCCATTGGAGGGCCGGACTATAGTTTAAAAAAAAAACGATGAACAAATTCCTCTGTACACTGCCCATATCTTATTTTGAAGTGAAAACAAATGGGGCAAAAACACCCGGCGGGCTGGATAAATGTCCTCGGCGTCGTTTCAGGACCCCTGAGTTAGACTGTTGATAATCTTATGCAGGTGAGAGGAGAGTGGGCTCTCTGATGCCTCCTGCAGGCAGCTGCTAGAGACCCCCCCTGATGGAGAAGGGGTGGGTAGTTTTTGGAGTAAAGAGGAATTCCATTTTATCCCTCTTGTTTGATTTTTCTGAATGGCATACCACAGAAGTATGGATATACTTGTAATATGCTATGCTTAAAATAAAATTATACTTCCTTAGAGACTAGGTTGACTTAAAATAACTTGTAGCACTTCTGATCATATATATGACTTCAAAATTTTGTGGAAAAATGGAATTAAAAGATAATGGATTTTTTTCCATGAACGTTTTGAAGCCCTTTGCATATTAATGATTTTTGCTTCGCAGGTGAACTATGAAATGACACATTTGAGAAGATTAGGTATAATATGACTCAGATTATATTTTTGAAAGGAATTGTATTTAAATTATGCTGGCAATGTGCCCTTGTAACTCTTCTCTTCGTATATAATAATTCCTATAACATAATCATAGCTTTCTATGATAATTACTATGAATGAGAATGACAGGGCAATTATAACAGGATAATTCTGGGATGATTTAAAATGGCAGATAATTGGTGAAACTGTTTATTCTAAAATGAAGTTGTTATGTTTTTACAGGTAACTGAAGATCAGACCAAGCCTACAGAGGAAAGTGCATCTACCTAGAAATGCCCTGCAATTTACGTAAATATGTATAGTAAATTAAAATAAAAGTTTTTTAATGTAGTGTTTGGGTGTGCTTGTGAAGATTTATATCATTCTTGACTTTTTCCTTTCTCTAAAGAATAAAACAATTTTCGTGTTCATAGTAAACATCATACAAAACAACTCCCCTCATTCCCCATTTTATTTTTTTCTTTCAATACTTTGTTTTTCAAACATGTGTAAGCATGTATGTACCTAGACAGATTCTGTCTTCTAGAAACATCAGTGTTATATACTGGGCATTGTGCTGAGTCCTCCACAAGGAACCTCTTAGAGCCTCACAACCACCTCTGGGAAGTTACTTCGGTTTGTAAACAAGACGTGGAGAGTGCAGAGCTGGAGAACGGCACCGCGGAAACGCGAGTGAGATTGCCTGGGCTTCAGATTCCAGCTGTCTCGGGCAGAGGCCAGGGGTTTGGAGTTTCTGACCTTGCCGTTAGCAGCCCAGTGCGGATCTCACTGCATCACCCCGTGCGGATCTCACTGCATCACCCGGTGCGGATCTCACTGCATCGCCCAGCGCGGATCTCACTGCATCACCCAGCGTGGATCTCACTGCATCACCCAGCGTGGATCTCACTGCATCACCCAGCGCGGATCTCACTGCATCACCCAGGCTCACTGGGTCTTCGTGATCTTTCGGTTTTGACATCGCCAGCTTTTTAGACATTTTCTTTCCTACTTTTTCTTTTTGTTTGTTCTTCTTTTCTTTAATGCTTTTTGAATTTGGTTTTGGGTCTTTTTAATTAATCCTTGAGAAAATGGCATGGAGGCACATCTTTCCTCCTCCTCCTTCGATAAGGAGAGGAGAATCTGTCTCCACAGCAACCTAAAGCCAGTTGTCTCGAGGCAGGGGTCAGACATGCATCCACCCTTCTGCCTTCTTTGACATTTTTCTGACACAGTTCATTCCTCCCTAGCACTCTTATGTCCCTAGTGGGTTTGGTAATCTGTTGCAGTGGCCATACAGAAATTCACAGACACTCCTTAGGATTATGGGAGTTTATTAGGGATGTTAATCAGTTGCCACAAGCCAGGATCAAAAAACATTTAGGAACCTTTTCTGCATAGGAGTGTGTTTCTTCAGCCAGCAGCCAAGTCTCTCTGGTCTCCAGCTTCACTAAAGGTTTTACAATTCCTCCCCCTTAACTAACCTGTCCTTAGGGAAATGCTTCCCATTTGATCTTAAAGAGTTGACGATTCTGGTATTCAATTTCTTTTGCTTTTTGTTAATTGTATCTGGTTGGTGTTTACCAGTTACAGTATATCATTGTGAATTTCTTCAGTGCTACTAATTGTCATCCATTCATTTCCGAGTCCATGAATTCTCTCTTATCTCTGGTGCTTTATTTTTTGGGGTCTCATAGTCTTTCCTGTTTAGGGTTTTTTCAGCTGTCAGGGGATGGCCAGTTGTGAATGTTGAGTGGAGAATGTGCATGTAGGCAGGTTGAATGGCCGTGTGATATTGATAGGCTATGGCTTCTCAGTCATTAAGGATGACTAGGTCAAGCTGCGAATTATGGAGGTTTTCTAAATGTTAGAATGAAAAGGGTTTTGTACTTGACTACCAGTTTCACTACTGATTGCCAGTTCTTCCACGTATTTTATCAAAAGTAGCTTCAGTATTTTGCCTGGTGGCAGCTACCTGGATTCAGGCCCTTCTGATAGCGTTTGTCCTCGGGTCCCTCTGCATTTAGAGATGGCGATAGGACAGAGGTGAACTGGTTTCTACTAGACCTTTAATATTGATCTTTATTTTTAGCTCATGTCTGTCTTCAAGGAGCTCTGGTGGAGCAAAGGCTAAAGCACTCAGCTGCTAATCACAAGGTTGGCTGTTGGCACCCCACACTCTCTCTGCAGGAGGAAACTGGCAGTCTGCTTCCGTAAAGATTTATAGGCTTGGGAATCTGGGGCATTTCCATTCTGAGTCATTGAGTCAGACTCTACTTGACGGCAGTGGAGTCGCCTCTACCGTCTCAGCTGGGCTCACTTCTCTGTGTTGGAGGTGCTGGCATCTGCTGCTTCATTAGTCACTCATTTTACATTTTGTCTACTGATGGTTTTCTCTCCCATTCTCTGTTAATTTTTTTAAAAATTAGAAATGCTGCGAGCATATAGGAAAATACAGGGAGTGTAGAACAAGTCCTTATTTAAATGACATTTTGCTTGCTTTGTAAGGTACAAACACTGCTTGAGCACCCAATGTCTGGTGATTTCCCACCCCGTGAGCGGTTTCACCAAGTAGAGGAGTGAATCACAATTCTCTCCCTTTCCTCACTGCCGGAGCTCAGACACGCAACCAGGACTCCCCAGTTGGACACGCCACAGTGCCATGAAGACACAGGAGCATGCTCGGTCAATTTGTTGAGGGGAAACGATGCCATGGCTTTCAGAGGCAGCAGGAACAGCTTTCAAGTCGTGGTGCATTGTGGGTGCTGTCTACTTTCCTCTGCAGCTCTCCAAGGGGTGAGCATGTTTATAGCTCTGTTACGTGAATGCCAAGAAGACGTCTCTCAAACCATTTCTCTTTTTAAAAAAAATCATTTTATTGGGGCTCATACAATTCATCACAATACATCAATTGTGTAAAGCACACATACATTTGTTGCCCTGATCATCCTCAAAATTCGCTTTCCTCTTGGGTTCCTGGAATTAGCTCATTTTCCTTCCCCCCCTCTCCCCCTC